ACTCAAGAAGCAGAATCACAGCCCCACCCTCAGTGGAGAGTGTCTTCCAGCCCCACCTGCCCAGAAAGGCTGGTAACAATTCCTGGAAGCAGTGCAGCCCAGCAATTCTTGAGCCAAGAGGCAGGCAGGCAAGCAGAGCTCATCACCCCTACAAGTAAAGCCAGTACTGAGTGTGGAGCATTTCCATCCTATGCATAGGCGGGGTGGGGGGATTAACTCATGGCCTAGGCTGAGGGTAGTTCTTGGCCCCCCGACCTGGAGAGCCTGTTTGAGAAATTAAGTAGCCTGGAGCAGCCCTCCCCCTTCCTTCCAAACAAGGGAACTGAGACATAGCCCTACCTGCTGTGGAAAGTGTCTTCTGGCCCCATCTGACTAGAAAGGCTGGAGACAACTCCTGGAGCTGAGAGGCATGTAGGCAGAGCCAATAGTTTACAAAACATGTCATTGGCTCTGAGAAGCAGCTCTTCTCCCACAGCACCTGGGCAGGGAATCTAATTTCTAGCCCCACTCATACTGAACACAGCCTTCAGCCTGTTTGACCAGAGCACCTAGCACACAGGAAGCTGCGACGTCCATCCAACAGCACTGGATACAGTGGCACTTGAACAGGATGTACAGGCCCTGGTTTCCCCTGTCTGCAGAACAGAACTAGCGGCGTCACCTAACCAGGGAATTCAGTGCATACTCTGGCCTAATTCAAACCCACAGACAATGATCTAAATAGGCCTTGGGCCCTGTCCTGCTGCCCTGCCAGGCAGGGAAGATAATTCATAGCCCAGTCTACCGCTAGAATATAGTACCCAGTCCTGATCACCTAGTGATCCTGACCAGAGAATCCAGGCAACCACAGAGCCCATCCCTCAGCCTCACTTATGAAGGGAACCAAGCCAGCAGTCCTTTCCAACTGTTTTGAATCAGTGGCACACCTATCCCATCCATCTTCTCAGAACTCAAACGGTTGCCTCACCCAAAAACAGACCATAAGAGCAGGCCCCACCTGCTCAAGGATGTTATCAATAAACACACCCAGAAACCCAAACTGAGCTGACTGGTGAAGAACTATCTCTGTCAAAACCTGTAAAGTTTGGAAGAAGAGCCTGATTACTCAAAGGCAGATACTAACATAAGGAATCAAGGATCACACATAAATCAGGTAAATGTGGCACCACCAAAGGAAACTAATAAAACTCCAACAACTGACCCTAAAGAAATGGAGATCTATGAACTGTCAGATGAAAAATTCAGAATAATGCTCCTAAAGAAGTTTAGTGTACAAAAAAATATAGACAGACAACTAAATGAATTTAGGAAAACAATGCATGAACAAAAAGAGAAATACAAGGAAATAGAAACCATAAAAAAAATCAAACAAATCCTATAGTTGAAAAAAGAATTGAACTGAAAAATTCAATAGAGAGTTTAAAAAGTAGAAAGAAGAAAGAATGAACTATCTGGAGGACAGGACATTGGAAATTACATAGTCAGAGAAGCAAAAAAGGAATAAAAAGAGTGAAGAAATTCTGTGGAAGTTATGGGACACCATGAAAAGAAACAATATGTGCATTATTGGAATTCCAGAAGAAGTGGGAAAGGGACAGCAACTATATTTAAAGCAATAATAGCTGAAAACTTTTTGAACCTAGAGAGAGAAATGGACGTCCACATCCCCGAGGCCCAAAAAACCTCAAATAGGTTGAATCAGATAGGGCTAACCTGAGACACGTTATAATTAAATTGTCAAAAGTCAAAGAAAGAATTTTAAGAGCAGCAAGAGAAAAGAGAAAAGCTATATACAAGAAAAACCCTCATAAGACTAGTGGATTTCTCAACAGGAAATTTTCAGGGCAGGAGAGAAGGGGATGAGATATTCAAAATACTGGAAGACAATAACAGTTAACCAAGAATTCTAAACCTAGTAAAGCTGTCCTTCAGAAACTGAGAGATAAATACTTGCCTAAACAAACATATACTGAGGGAGGTCATTACCACCAGACTGCCTTATCAGAAATACTAAAGAGGGTTCTCCCTTACAAGAAATGCTGAAGACAGTTCTTTGAGTGGTAAGTAAAAGAACTCTAATTAACATCATAAAAGCTCAAAAAGGTAGCATTAATCTATAATCTAATAGTAAATATATAATCATAGTTAGATTCTACAATATGGTAATAGTGATGCATTATTCATTTACAACTCTAGTTTAAAAAGAAAACAAACCATAACTACAATAATCTGTTATTAGTTACACAATAAAAACATGTAAATTGTAACAGCAATAACCTAAAATGTGAGGGGGAGGAGAAGTAAAAGTATAAAGTTTACAAATTCTATTGAAGTTATCAGTTTTAAAATAGGATGTTATAAGTTTAAGATATGTTCTGTAAGCCTTATCAACCACAAGAAAAAAATCCTGTAGTAATTACATAAAAGAACACGATAAAGAAGTCAAACATACTAATAACAAAAGAAATCAAAACACACACAAAAAGACAGCAGGATAAGAAACAGGGAAAAACGGATCTACAAAACAACCAGAAAACAATTAACAAAATGGCAATAGTAAGTTCTTACCTATCAATAAATACTTTTAAAGCAAATTAAATTCTCCAATTAGAAGATATAGAATGGCTGAATGGATAAAAAGAAAATCAAACAATATGCTGCCTTTACGAAACTCATTTTAGGGGTGGGTGGCTCATTCAGTTAAGCATCTGACTCTTGATCTCAGCTCAGGTCTTGATCTCAGGGTCATGAGATCAAGCCCCATGTTTACTAATTAAAAATAAAAATAAAAATAAACTCACTTTAGCCTTAAAGACATATAGACTGAGAGTGAAGGATGGAAAAAGATACTTCAGGCAAATGGTAATTAAAAAAAAAAAAAGCAGGGGTAGCTATGTTTATATCAGATAAAATAGACTTCAATCTAAAAGTGGTAAAAAAAAAAGTCATCATATGATAAATGGGTGAATACATCAAAAAGGTGTAACAATTGTAAATATTTATGCACCCAACATCAGAACACCTGAATATATAAATCAAAAATTAACAGAGCTAAAAGGAGAAATAAATAATAATACAATAATAGTTGGGGACTTTAATACCCCACTCTCAACAATGGATAGCTCATTCAGAGACTCAATAAGGAAATAGTGGATTTGAACAACACCATAGACCAAGTGGACCTAATTGACATATACAGACCATTCTATCCAATAACAGCATAATACATATTCTTCTCAAGCACACATGAAAGATTTTCTAGGACGTTAGGCCTGTTTTCTATGATATTAAGCCATGTTTCTAGGATATGTTTGGCCACAAAACAAGTCTCAGAAAATTCAAGAAGATTGAAATCATACAAGTACCTTCTCTGAACACAATGGCATGAAACTAGAAATCAATAAGAAGAGGATAACTGGAAAATTCATGGACAGATGGAAATGGAAAACTCATGAAATCCTGGTTGAAGTCTTAATTATAAAGATTTGTTTAAATACATAAAGAATAAAAAATTAGACTGGTCTCAGAGTTATACCCTCTATATCATGGATCACCTGCAAAATATATAGCAATATTTTTAGGGTTAAACGAGAACGATTTTTATCCAAGCATTTTATAGCCAGCCAAATTGTCGTTCACCTGTGAAAGCAGTTTTAAGACAGTTTAGGTTATTCAAGATTACATCAAGTATATAACTCATATTCTCTTCCTGCAAAAAGTATTCGAGAAATTATTCAAACCAATCAAGGAATGAATCAACTAAATAAAGAAAACAGAGAAGCTATGTCATAAAAGGACAGGTGTTGATAAATAGGAACCATTTAAACATAAAATTAAACAAAAAATAATAATAAACATAAAATTAAAATGACCCTGATTTTTCTAGTATACATCCTCTAGTTCTGTACTTATTAACCGTGCATGGGAGATAAGCTTCTGAGTCCTACTTAGCTAAATATAAACACAAACAAAAAAGTTGATGCTTATCTAATTTTTGCCTCTTTGTACCTATTTTTTTTATTCTGTAAATGGGTTTTCTCATTCTTTAATGTTCTGAAATTTATTAACCACATAACTAAGTATGGTAATAATTATAGTTCATTCATCCTACTTACCACTTGATAAGCTTTTTCCACTTGAAGGTAAATTCCCTCAGTGGTGGGAATTTTTTTTTTTTTTTTGGACAATCATTTTTAAAACCAAAAAGCTCTTTCTGATTCCCTGATTGCTCCTTCTGGCTGGCCAAACCACTTTTACTTCCCTCTCTTGGCCGTTTTGTTACCTGTCCAGTTTTTTTTAAAAACCACCTTTCCATATTTCCCAGATTTTTTTTTCTTTTTGCCTCTAGATTATAACACATTACTGTTATGTGTTAACAGACATAAAAGGCAGAAGTGAAGACCTGAAAGGCAGAAGTGAAGCTCTTGAGACCATGCAGCCCAACTAGCAATTATAGTTACGAAGTTTTCTGCAACAGTAGTAGAGGTGCTAATGTCTGGTCCCTAGCTTCTTGAGTGACTTTGAGGTATTTCCGTCGCAAAAAAAAATCTCAGGGTATGAATCAACAATTTTCCTAAGTGCCTCACTTTAGTATCTGATCAAAGTTTGATTTCTGTGGCCTCAGTAAACATTCTGCAAGCTAACTTATATCCTATAATAAATTACTCGATACTTAGAACAAGCCAGATGACTCTCTTGTCCAACCCAATGCTGGCAGATAATGAGGAGTAAACTGTTTCATGTTCATACCTTCACTTATTCCCCCTGAGACAGTCAGTCAGCACTTTCCATTCATATTTGTTCCTCTAGCAGTTTGTTGAAATTTGCCAACGGCCCCATATCCATTTGCCAATGGCCCCATATACTCATTTTCTATTGATATTTTAAAAATTACCACAAACAGTGACTTAAAACAACACCCATTATTAGGTCACAGTTCAGTAGGTCAGATTGAGGCAGACCCAGCTGCATTTTCTGGTCAGAGTATTACAAGACTGAAGTCCTGGTGTCAGCCAGGATGTACTCTTATCTGAAAGCTCCAAGGAAGAACTGATTTCAGCTTTATTCAGGTCGCTGGCAACATCCAGCTCCTTACTGCTATAGGTCTAAGTCCCCCATTCCCTTTCTGGCTCTCCACCAGAGTCTACTTTTTTCTTCCAGGGGTCCCCAGCATTCCTGGCCTCCTCCATCTTCAATGCCAGCAAGAAAACTATGCTTCGTTTCAGACCTCTCCTTCTGCCACCAGCCAGAGAAAACTCTGTGCTTTTAAAGGAGTTGTATGTTTAGATCAGGATGACCCAGATTATCTCCCATTTAATTAACTCAGAGTCAACTGACAGCAACCTTAATTGTATCAGCAAAATCTCTTTTGTCATGTGACATGACATAATCACAGGGAGGGAATTATACAAGGGAATTGTATAATTGCATACAATTATACAAATTAATTATACAATTAAAGTCATTGGGGTCATTCTTAGAAGTCTACCTACCTCTGTCCTCTCTAGTTCTTTTCAGTATCAGAGGTTGCAACTTTTTACTTTTTTTTTTTATTATTTTCATAGACTCTTCAGATGGAAGAGAACTGTCATTATCTACTCAGTCTGACATCTTAAACTAAAAGTCCGATCACACTCACAGTAGGTTGCAAATTTATTTATATTACGCTTGGATGTACAAAAACCTGAAGTATGTTTTCTCTATAAATGGTCCAATCACCTTTGCTACTTACTACTCCCCTTGATAACAAGAAGAAGAAAAAAACTTTAGTAAACTGTAAGTTTAGTCTGATTTGATAATATTTTTTTAGATGAATGCTATCTATTGCCAAAGAAAAATTGCCCTGGACAAGGTTAAACCATCAAGGAAGACTTTACTCAGGATGATTGCAGTAGGGAAGAGAGAGATTGACTTCAACTACATTGAAACAAAAGGAGCATTTTGAAGCCTGCAGCAAGCTAGTGGAAAAGTCCTGGAGGACATTAGGAAGGAGGTTTGTTAAAGTGACTGCTTATTGGTGCTCACCAAAGTTAGGTTCCACACTGCCACAAAGACTGGGAGATAGGGGCACTGTCTTTCTTGATGATTCCACTTCAAAGAGCTGGTTTCCAGGTCCTTCAGAAATACACTACTGTGTTTGTAAAACTAGCAAGAGACTGGGAGAAAGATGATTTACATCTCAAAGGGACAGAGAAAAAAATACAATTTAAAGTTTTCTAGAATGAATGCTCTAAGAAAATGGAGGTCAGGGACCTATAGTCAGGAAGAAACCTATCTAAAGTTTAGTCAAGTTGAGGGGAATGTTAAGTCTGCCTTAGTCACTAGTAAAGATAAAATGCCTAGCATTTCAGATTTCCACCCATCCCCTATTTCTCTCCAAAAAGGTATATGAGTATATGAGGAAAGGGAAGCTTATATAACCATATGTCTGATGACAAAAGATGATCTTGAATCTGCACAATGTCCACTGGATTCTTCCTGGTCACTTCTGCAGTGGTCAGTCTGAACTATTCCCTGTTGGTGATCACTGAGTTGTGACTCACTCTATTTGACTTTAATTTTTTTTTTTTAAAGGAGGTCTCATCTTGAAGCTCCCCACTGGAGTCCTTGGTTCTATTTGCCTCTATCGTCTTGAAATTGTTGAGTTCTGCATCACATTAGACACTAGTATTCTGCCTTTTGTGCCCACTTTTAGATGTAAACACAAACTCCTATATTCATTGTATGTCTTTAATTCTTCAGAACCAGGACATCACAAGCAGTTGATTTACCGATCTGTCTTCAACTGGCACCTCCATGTATTGCTCACTCCGTGTTAGGGAGCACTAGGCCAAAAGCTAAAGTTTCCCAGCAACCTGCACCTTTCTGACACTATTCCAGGACTAAACAGCCTGGTACCACACACCGACCCTAGATGTGTTCTCAGTCTTCCCAAACCCATCTCAGTGTTTCAATCCATCCCTCCACATACTTCCACTCTCACCCCAACACGAATATACCCATGTTGAGATTAGCAGCGGACTTCCTCCACTGACTTCTGTTAGTCTTCTTCCTACCCCCCCAGGGGCATTGTCTTCCACAATCCCAAGGTCTAATACTACAGGCCCAACTTTTTCTATCTTAACCTATATAGTTAAGATTGATTGATAAAAATTTATTAATTCCTGTCTTTTATGGCTAAATCGAATTGCTAAAGGGACTAAAACTTAATTCATGAAACACAAAGCTTATCAATGACTCATTTCTAGTACTAACCACTTCCCTCATCTCTGGGTCAATATGCTTCAAAATGTAACTTGGAAAGGAACACAACAAACTTAAGGGAGAAATTTAATTCTTTTATTTAATATTTGCAAATATTACTCATGTCATACACTCTTAAGAGATGAAGCAAACATATGGGATAGTCACCTGCCTATAAAAACATTTTTAAGTCTTAACTGACAGATATAAAAACAAATGTCTTACACCTAGACTGAAGTTCTAACAATCTGTGCTTTCTCTTTTTAACTTCCATGAAAGCATGAATATTCCTACTTTTATCACTCCCCAAAATGGAATTTATGAACCTACATTTAGTTTACATAAAGACTATTGTGTCTTAAACATGTAACCTTTCTGAAAATGATGTTTATCACTTACACATGGAGCAAGCATCATCTAATTATAATAAGTAAAACATAATTTTTTTTTTTAAAGATTTTATTTATTTATTTGACAGAGAGACACAGCGAGAGAGGGAGGAACACAAGCAGGGGGAGTGGGGGAGGGAGAAGCAGGCCTCCCGCCGAGCAGGGAGCCCGATGTGGGACTCGATCCCAGGACCCTGGGATCATGACCTGAGCCGAAGGCAGACGCTTAACGACTGAGCCACCCAGGCACCCAGTAAAACATAATTTTTAATAATTACTTGCTATTGTTCATTTCTTAAAGTTCTCTTCAAGACAATTCTTAACTATTACTTCATATTCACATAATATAGAGTTATATATTATATGGAGACATATATATTTTGTGTATATTATACATATACATATATAGGGAGAGAGAGAGAGTGAATGACAGTTGAATAAAATGCCTTCACTCTGAACGCAACTCATCTTGTTATATAGAAAGTGTAGATTGTCAGTAATTTATTTTGAATTTTTTTAATTACAAGTATTAACAAATAAACTAAGTGAATTCAATTTATAATTTCTTTTGGTTTCAGTATGAAGTTTTTCCCTAATGTATAATGTTTTACTTTAACATCTAGTACCATTAAATTGACAGCAAAGTTGGGATTATTGTTGTATGTATGTTAGTTGTTATTTGTCAGAATAGGAAGGTAGTAATAAAATTTAGTAAGTTAAAAACCTTACACCTAGGGGCACCTGGGTGGCTCAGTCGTTAAGCATCTGCCTTCGGCTCAGGTCATGATCCTGGCGTCCTGGGATCGAGCCCCGCATCGGGCTCCCCGCTCCGCGGGAAGCCTGCTTCTCCCTCTCCCACTCCCCCTGCTTGTGTTCCCTCTCTCGCTGTGTCTCTCTCTGTCAAATAAATAAATAAAATCTTAAAAAAAAAAAAAAACTTACACCTAGGATTGAATGATGTTTATCTGCCTGTCTCACATGTGCAAGCTGCCATTTCCATCATTTTCTCTCATAGCATGGCCTTTGCCATTTTCTCCTTTCTGCTCTTGACATAATCTAGTTGAGGCTTCCACCAATGATAAAATGGGACAAGTATCCTCCATCTTTGCTTATGTTACTGGGCCACCAAGTATCCATTTCCTGATTTCAATTTCTTAGAAACATTCTAGTTACATGCTTCTTTACTTGACTCAACTTTATTACAGCTCTCCCACCAACATGTGGTAACAAAGCTCAAAGACAATTTGAATTATAATCAATGTTGCATACCTCTAAAATCTTATTCCTTAGAACAGAGGTTGTAAATTTAGAGGACAGAGTCAATGGATTCTGCCCTTTGCCCCAAATAGGCAATTTAGTGATGCTCCTCTTGCTTTAAAACCACACCCCTCCACACACACACATCCCGATTTAAGGATCTCACTTCCTGGGGATTAGATTCCTGTCTTCCGCATTTTTGATCTTCCCCCAGCGACTCGCTCAGATTATGCACATAGTGAGCACTTGGGAAATGTTGGTGGAATATTGTTGAACAAAAACAATCACTCTGGACTTTCTGATAAAGATGATGAATCATCACAGGATAATTTTAGCATGCAGAGCCCAAACAGTAACCAGGTTGTGCAACTGTCCTAATACATGAATTCATTCACCAGCCCTGCCTGCGAGGAACCAGCAAAAGGAACGCGAGAGATTTGACAGCTATGCCTTTGGCGGCCAGCTTTTAAATTATCTCTTCTCAGCCAGGAACGTCGCTTCAGTAAGGAGTGGAGGCGGCTGAGAGCTGTGGAATCCACACCCTTCTCCCTTCGCACTTTCATCGCTAGCTCTAGCTTGGCGCAAGGCACGCTGGGACACCAGGGAGCTCAACCACCATCACCAAGGCAACCCGCCGGCACGCGGTTGTCATGGAGACCGGCGGGCACCGCGGAGAGTCTCGCAGAGGGGCTGCCTTCGCCCGCACCCAGGCAGGATGCTTCGCCGAGGCTATAAGGCCTCTGAAAGGCGAAGACACTTGAGCGACCACCTCAGCTGGCAACAAGACCAGGCGATGAGCAGCAGCATCTACCTCCTACGAGAGATGGGCCCCACTGGCTTCCTGCTGAGGGAGGAGGAGCCGGAAAACAGGGATTTCCGAGTAATTACCGCCCCGGGCTCCCCTCTGCTCTTGCCTGGCCCACCCGCCTGGTCCTCCTGGGCCTGCCTGGTATCTAGCCACCCTCGCCATCCCTGCGGATTCTCGCTGCCACACCCACCCCACCCGCACGAGTTCCAGACGCTAAAGATGGGCAGATTGCAGAGGGAAATAGTATTTGTTAGAAAAGTTTCATTTTTGAAAGTCAGGACTCCAAATTGCATCCAACTCTTGTAATATAATGGCCCTTGTTTGATCTTTAGGCTTGAAAATGTGAGACGTTTTATTTAAACCTAGGGTTTACATTGCGTGCATCCTTAGATCCGGTGTTAGCAGTCAGTAGCCCTGTAACTCAAACGAAATGAAAATCCTATGACCTACTTACATACCGTAAATATTTACCAAATAAATAAAATCGGTTTTTCTTTACTCTTCAGTTACTCTAAAACTCCAAGAAGATCCTTTTAAAGTACTGTTTAGATGATGATGCCTTGGAAAGGTCTTAATAAAAATTCTTTCTAATTTTGCTGAAAGACAACAGATACTTTATATTTGATATCCCACTCTAGCCACTCAAAAGTCAGCCACCATCCATCCCCCCTCCCAGGTGTTGATTTGGAAAATTTTAATTTAGTGTCCTGCATTTTAAGTACTGAATACAAACTACTAGCCTGTGCTTATTTAAGACATTCTTCTTCTTCTTTTTTTTTTTTTTTACTTTTTCCCTTATAACACTTACTGTAGTTAATAAATTGTTTTATCCAATATAGATTTGGTGAATAAAATTAGTCTTCTCAAGTAAAATTATATGCCAATTTAAGTGTACAAAACAAACGAAAATCCAAGGTAAGCTAGTTTACAAAAAATCTTTAGCTCCACTGCAAGGCAGAATGAATTTTTGGTAAGAAATGTATAGAATTTCTTTTTAGCTTTTAAAATTAGATTTCTTTTCAGCTGCCTGAGTGTAGGTCATCTAAAAAGAGTCTTAACTCATAATGCAAATTGTTGACCAACGCAAAGAATATGAGGAGACTGGTGTCAAGAGTTAAGATGTCTCAATAGACTATCTTCAACCTTTGGAGTCACCTAAACTAAGTTACTTCTTGAAATCTCTCT